GATATTGCCCAATAAATGACTCACCCTGTATTCTCTCTCCAGCAGTGTGTTACGGATGCTGTTCTCTCATGGAAATCTTTGCTGAACTATTAGATGATACAACTTCATATTGCAGAATAATGTATATTGTCCTTGTTACGATTAAAGGGAGCAACTTTTAATTATTTTGAAGACCTGTTTTTACATCCCTTTCAGTATTTTTTCTATTTAGATATTTTTTAAAAATTATTGAATCATCATGAGATATACAGTTACAAAGTTGTTCATGTTTGAGTTTCAGTCATACAATGTTCCAACACCATCCCTTCATGGGTGTACATTTACCACCACCACTGTCCCCAGTTTCCCTCCCTTCTGCCCCTCCCCCCACAAGCCTGCCTCTAGCAGACTCTCTCTCTCTCTCTCTCTCTCTCTCTCTCTCTCTCTCTCTCACACACACACACACACACACACACACACTTTTCTTTTAGGTACTGTGTTTTGCAGTACTGTTACTGAAAAGTAATCATGCATATCAATTTACCTTTTTTCAGCGCTCAGTTCATGTCCACAATGATCGTTTCCAACTATTATCATCATAGTCACCCCTTCTCTATTCTAACTGCACTCCCTTTCCAACTTGTGGCAAGCTTTCTACCATGGACCAGATTTCCTGGCCCTCATTCCTACTGTCTTTTGGTATTATTAACATACTTTTTTTTTTATATCCTGCAAGTGAGTGCAATAGTTCTTTTTCTCTCTCTTCCTCTGACTGATTTCACTCAGTTTGATACTCTTCATGTCCATCCATGTATAAGCAAATTTCATGACTTAATTTTTCCTAAGAGCTACCTAGTGTTCCATTGTGTAGATGTAGTTTCTTTATCTACTTATCTGTTCTTGGGCACTTGGGTTTAAGTCTCTTGTATATTTCTTCTAGATATTAGCCCTCATCTAATCAAAATATATGCATGATACATGGCAATTATTTATTTGTTATGTAAGTTGCAAATATGTATATATATGAATTATATATATGTTTATTCTGTTTTTTTTTAAAAATATTTAGAGCAGGAGAAGAGGTAGCTACATGGGTGATAAGTGTGGTAGTGGAATTATGTGCGTAAGCAATCATAATTAAAAAATTGTAAATCACAAGTGATAAAATCTCAAGCAATAAAAATACTTAAAAAATTAAACATAGTTAGAAAGGCCTACTCAGAAAATTTTTTAAAAAATCTCCTCTTTGCTTCTGAAGTATTTTGTGATTTCATTTTTCACATTTAAATATTTGACCCAGGACCAGAGAGATAGTTTAATGGTCTGAACATATGGTTTGCATGCCGAAAAATCAACACTCAGCACTTCATAATATACTGACTACCACCAGGAATGACCTCTAAGTGCAAAGCTGGAAGTAGTCTCTGAGCATTTCCAGGTGTGGTGCTGTATGCAACACAAAAATTTATTTTAAATAAAAATAAATAAATATTTGGTCCATTAAACGAATTTTATTTTAAACTGTCAAGTAGAGGTATTTTTATTTTATTTTGTTATGATTAAATCCATGCACGGAATATACTCTATCACTAAGCTACATCTGTCAGTGAAATCTTAAAATAAAAAATTTTATTTTATTTTTCCAAATGGCCACCTAGTTGTTTCAATTTCAGGTATGGAATAATACTGTAGCACTGTAGCACTGTCCTCCCCTTGTTCATGGATTTGCTCTAGCGGGCACAGTAACATTGTGAGACATTTTTGTTACTGTGTTTGTCATGTCACAGGTAGCTTGCCAGGCTTTGCTGTGCTGGCGAGATACTCTCGGTAGCTTGCCGGGCACTCCCAGATGGGTGGAGGAATTGAACTTGGGTTAGCCAGGTCAGCCACATGCAAGGCAAACGCCCTACCCGCTGTGCTATCGTTCCAGCCCATGGAATAATACATTAATCTGAAAATAAATTTATTATCTATTAAATTCCTGTGTGTCTCTTGAAATATTTTGATTTTCTACTGATGTTTGGTCTGATTTTTGGCAAAGAAAATGCTTAATAATTAGAATTTTATAATAGGTTTTAATATTTAGTGGATCATCTACTTTCTAATTTTTTCAAAAATTTTTCTGGCTAATATTCTGGACTTTAGTTCTTTACAACAAAATTGATCATTTTTTGGGGGGATAAAATTGTGCATTGAATTTATGGAGAACTCAGAATAACATATTTATTATGTTTAACCTTATTATTCAAGAATATGAATTATCTTTAAATTTTTTATCTTTATGTTTCTCTTTGCATATTTGAAATTCGACATATGGGTTTCATAATGTGGAGATAATATAGAGAGGAGATAATATGGGAATTTACCTTAGGATTTTAAGCATTACATAAGATAATAAACTTTAACTAAGCTCAGAAAAAATAATGTGCAACAAGTACATTTTTATTGCTGTATCCTGGTATGTGACTAATCTAATTAGATAAATGGGCCACTCAAGAACCCGAAATTTCCATGATCGTGACTCATACTTGGCTCAAACAATTTTCCTACCTTTGCACCACTTCCCTATGGTTTACTCACCTCTTTGCCAGGTTTGCCAGGAACCAGAAGTCCCACCAGGGCCCTCGGTGCCATTCTTGTTAGACAGAGTTGAACAAGTTCTGACTGCCCAGGACACCCAACATCCAGAGAGAGGTGACAGTACAGTACTGACATTTCACATCTTGACAATTGTGGCAGGAAGAGAAAAATATTGTCAGATGCATTATAGATCTCAGTTCTGAAGATTGAGAATCTCCGTCCATAGGGCAGTAGGAGAGTTGATCAAAAGTTGTTGATGAAATGGAGTCTGTATTATTGTCTTCTGACACTCATAACCCTGTATCTGCATGCTTTGCATAGTATGGGCTCAATATAGAAGTAGATGTTTTTCTACATTTTTAGTATTCAGTTTTCCCAAGTGACTATCATTACTATCCCATTTACAGAAAAAAAAATATAATGGAGGCTCAAGATCATAGTACTCAAAAAGTAGAAAATAGCTACAGGGGATATATTTATTTTCATAGTCTCTGTTATTAACAATGATACCTAACTTAGTAGATCCTGACCAAGTTGAATACAATCAACTACAAGATAAATTGAACTGCTGTTGAGCTCTAAGTCAGTGCATGCTTCTTCATCTGGAACAGAAACACTCACATGCTAGATATTATTAGTGTCAGTATTCTTTTCGTTAATAAAAATCACACATCCTCTGAGGGCTCTGTTTCCTGGTCTTCTGAATTAACCTGAAAAATTTCTGGGGAAATTAATGGTATTTTCAGTTGCGTTTATTTTCAGGAAATAGGAGTTACATTTTCACATTATCTGAACATGCTATAGCAACAGAATGAAGGATTCAGCTATTTTCAATCCAACATTTTTGTCTTCACTTTTTAATGTCTTTATTGTATGGAAAACTTAATGGTGTCACACCTTCATTTGGTCTCTCCCAAGTAACTATTCAATTTCAGAAATATTTCAGAAAGATGATCCAGCAAATTACTTATTCCCTAGGGGGGGAAAGCATGTGACAAATGAATCAAGGGAAACTGACTGCGCAGGGAAGAGCATACTCAAGGCATTTCAGCATGACTCACAGCACAAGGACTATCCCATGATCAAAAAAGGTGAATGAACGGAGCCAGAGTTACTTATATAGTTTCCAATGATGTGATTAGCTATGCATTTTCCACACAGGCTGGTGATACCAACTATGGTAATGAATGAGGGATTGTCACCACCTCCCAAAGGGATGCTCTGTCAGAGCTAAGACTCCGTTCAGTGTGGAGGGTCCAGGAACCAGGATCCACCATGCAGTGAATGGAATAGGCATTGAGAAGGGCAGCATCAAAGAGGTCCAACAGTTGGCAAATCCTGCTGTCTGGGAGACCCTCATAGTTACAGCATTTGCAGGAAATGCTTTGGACTAGGTTTCAGAAGATTTCAGTCCTAGAAGGACCGAAGAAAGCAGGGGTGGGAACTAGTCATGAAAGACGTAGAGTATTTGAAAATTTTTTTTTTTTGCAAGGAAGATATTTAGGTAAAAGGACTGACTGTGGTGGAAAGGGAAAGGCTTGTTCCCAGGAACTCAAGGTCTGCCTTGGTCATTACTGTATTTTCTTCAGGTAACCCTTTTCTTGGCACAGAGGAAACACTCACTTAAGTAGCTGTGAAGTGAATGCATGAGGCATAAGGCCGACAGCCAGTTTCTGAATATAGAACACGTGATGTGAACAGATTTCTGAGTGGCATTGACTTGATGTTGAATCACCTGACCCCTGACTAAGGAGAGGCTTTTCCCAGAGCGTAGGGTGTGGCTGACCCCGCATGTAGCCCAGGTGGGAGCATTAGGAGGAAAAGAAGCAGGTAGGTAGATGCCTACTCATTTTGACAACATTATGTTAGTATCAGGTTTTCACATTTGATCAAATATACTTAGTCCATTTGAGTTGTGGAAACAAACGTGCCAAAGACTGCGGCAACAGTAATTCATTTTTCACTGTTTTGGAGGCAGGGAAGCCCAAGATCAAGTTCATAGAGGCAGGATCAGTGGCTGATAGGAGTTTGTTTCCTAGTTACTAGATGGTTATCTTTCCCCTGTCTTTTCTCAAGAAATAAGAGGGCCAAAATGATCTCTGGGGTCTTTTTCACATGATGTTAATCTCCTTCATGCCATGCATGTGCCCCATTCATCTCTTAAGACCATGGCACAAGAGATTAGATATCAACATATACATTTGAGAGGAGGAAAACATTCAATCCAGAGAACGCATTAGGATCGACTTCTACAGATCACATACCCCAAAAAGCCTTGTCAGGTTCTTTAGTTTTCATGAAGTCAGGACAGTTTATACTTATTTGAAAAGTCACATTACACAAATGGTCAGGGTTCACAACGTTCAGAGCTGCTATTTAGTTTTAATTCATCAAAGGCTTGTTAAGTGACTAGCACTGTGAGAGGTTCACTGTAGCACTACCTTTATTTTCCAAGCAGTCCTCAAAGGAAGATGCTATTGGCTGCACTTTATAGATGAAAAGCTTGAGCATCAGGTTCAATGCTGTATTAAGGGCTACCTAGAACAGGAAATGTCAGAACAAAACAGTTAGGTTCAGAATTCTTCAACTTTTCCCACCCTGATGTATGGCTCAGGTTACTAAAATGCAGTTTCTGGCTCAGATTCTGAGATCAGGCAGAAGACTCTAATTTTCTATTAATTTCCCAGGTCTGGCTAATGCCGTTGATCTAAGAATCACACAGTGAGGAATGAGTCAAGAGATGAGGTGTCTAGATAAAAGATTATTTTCAGCTCTATGAACCAGATGCTGTATACTAGAAAGACTCAGCTCTCAGGGGCTGGAGAGATGGTACTGCAAGAAGGGTACTTACTTTGCACATGGTCAACCTGGGCTCCATCCCTGACATCCCGTATGGTCCTTCAAGTCCTGCCAGGAATAATTCCTGAGTGCAGAGTCAGGAGTAAACCCTGAGCACAGCTGGCCCCAAACCCAAAGACTCAAGTCCACTATTAGGACGTGAAGGCAGCTTTTGACAATTTGTAAACAAATGAAGATGGTCACATTTCAATAAAATTTTACTGATATTTAAATTTCAGATCATTTTTTTAATTGAAAAATATATTTTTCTTTTGTTTTGTTTTCAGCCATTTAAAAAGGTACAGATATTACCTACTCATGGGTCACGGTTTGCTGACTCTCAGCTACTCTTGAAATCCAGTGGCCTTGATGTTCTGGGAGTAAAGAACTTAGCAAAGGAAATTGTCTGGGTATGAGGTTTTGAGTTCACTACTAGCCATCACTGGCAGACAGGTGTCTGAGAAGGCACAGCACAGGCATCGGAGGGGAAAGAGCCACTTCTCTGGCAGGGCTTGTCACATTCAGTGAGAAGACAGGGGAAGCGATTGCTTTGGACTTCAGTTTCTTCTTGTTCAAAGTGGGAAAGAGGGTTAAAACGAATACCCACTTTTCAGTCTTATGAAGAAAACAAACAGAACTGAAGATGATGCCCATGAAGTGTTTGTGATCCTTCTCAAAGTTGGCTTACCACTAGAAACAGGATGGGAAGACTCATATAGCACTGGACCTCAAAGTCAGCAAACTCTGGAATTGTGGAAGAGGCATTTGTGACACAACACCGTGTAGGTTTAAACACGGTCACGGTCCTCCTGTTGTTCATCGATTTGCTCGAGCGGGCACCAGTAAAGTTTTCATTGTGAGACTTGTTACTGTTTTTGGCATATCGAATACGCCACAGGGAGATTGCCAGGCTCTGCCATGCAGGTGGGATATTCTCGGTAGCTTGCCAGGCTCTCCGAGAGGGACGGAGGCATCAAACTCGGGACGGCTGTAGGCAAAGCAAACATCCTACCTGCTGTGCTAAATACATTTTAAAATTGCTTTTAGCAGTACCAGGACTTTCAATACTGCTAGTGATAGGATTTCTTGCATACAATGTTCCAACACCACAGCCTCCACAAAAGTGTAACCCCGAACAACCCCCTTCCCTCTTTCATCTACACTTCCTTTCCCCCATTGGTAAGCTCAGTTCTATAAACCAGTTCTCAGGCTACCTGGATGATCTGCAGTGTATGATGCTGCGTCAAGTTAGCCAGAAGAAGAGGAACAGATACAGAATGAGCTCCCCCAACCCCCATGTGTGGGATATAAAGAAACATAGTAAGAGAATAACCACCTTTCATTTTATAGGCAAGTGCTTTGAGGACACAAGAGTGAAGGACAGCAGAGCTTTTAGAAAGATATAAGTCAAGGGCAGGCCAGGGAAAAACCCTTAGAAGGCAAAGCACTATCTGCAAGGCATAGGATGTGGTTGATATACATTTAATACTAAAGACCGATGGCTGGTATTTATAGCACCTTATCATGTTCTCTAACCTACATATTCCTCATGCTTACTTTGAAAGTTGGCACTATTGTTATCTCCATTTGACAGATGTGGAACCACCTTCCTTTCGGTGGCAGCTAGGTCTGACTCCAGTATCCTTGTTCTTAATTATAAGGAACACATTGGAAACTTTGGCCCCCAGCCCCTAAACTTTTAGCAGTACCATGACTTTCAATAATTCTAGTGATAGGGTATTAGTTTATAGCTTATCCAGGTTCTCTGGGTAAACTTTACTTGGCCTGGAATGGTGAACCTTGAGGTGGGGGAATCCTTTTCCCAGGAAGCAAATAAAACTGGGGGTGGTCTGGGTGGAGGGAGATATATAAGTCTGTTATGCCGTATGAGTTATGCAAGAGACTTACAAGATTCTGTTGGAAATGGAAAGAGCTCACTTTTTGCTCTTTCACACATATTTCACATTTATTATCAGGTCAGCAGCCTGCCCAAGTCATACAGCCCACAGGGTAAAGCAGACTCTATTCTGGATTTTGGTGCAGATTCATTTTCAGAAGCAGGTGGGCGTGGCACACGTATTTTTGCTATTTGTCTGTGTGGGTGATAGTCAAGCCTCATATGTAGACTGTGTACAGGCAATATGAAACAGAAAAATGCCCGTTATGGACCGAAGGAAATGTCAATTGAACTTGCTCTCCCGAAATTAGTGCCTTTGATCATTTGGATCCTATGAGTCTATAGAAAACTTTGGGTGATTCCCCGCATCGTGACTACTGTTTTTCCCCATTCATTATCTTATGACAATTAAATGGGTCTTTTAAAATTGAATTTGGAAAAGAAACTTTAATAAGGGTATTCCTGATTCTCAATAACTTAGAGAACTTGCCTGGAAAATTTTCTTGCTGTTTCTTCCCATAATTTGTAGCTTCCTCATCAATGAGATTGGATTCCCTGGATATTCCAGAATTGCTTTTACCAAATTTTTATACTTATAAGAAGAACTCTGAGATAAATATCTTATGTTGCCATTTCTTGAAGGATAAAGAGTGAAATCTGAACTGTTTCAATTTCCAGTATCTAAAAATCAGTACTCATGAACTCTGACCATGAGCCGATGTCAGTTTTCCTCACTGAGCAAAATGAAGTCAAATTTTCTAAATTTCCCAGGAAAGAGTTCCAGCTGATTAGTTACTATGTGCCTTTGGTTATTTACTAACAAACTAGTGGATAAGTGTTGAACTCTCATTTTGCACAGTTAATATTTATTAATCACTCCGGTGATAGCACAGCGGTAGGGCGTTTTCCTTGTGCGCAGCCAGCCCCGTGGAGCCAGGTTTGATTCCTCTGCCCCTTTTGGAGAGCCCAGCAAGCTACCAAGAGTATCTTGCTCGCACAGCAAAGCCTGGCAAGCTACCCGTGACGTATTCAATATGCCAAACACAGTAACAACAACAAGTCTCAAAATGGAGACTTTACGGGGCCCACTCGAGCAAATCGATGAACAATAGGAGGACAGTGTGTGACAATATTTATTAATATAATGTAATTATAATATATAATTTTATAAATATAATATTTCGACAGAGAAATTAAGGTGCATTTGTGTTATTCATTTCCATTATTTTCTTTTTTATTAATTTAGTACTTAATTTCTTTTTCTTCTTGCAATGTTGGAAAATTAACTCAGGGTCTCATTTATGCAAAACATGTGCTTTACCACTGAAACATATGCCAAGACTCAAAATACTCAAGAGACCTTTTTTACTGCACTTGATTTGACTTTTATGAGAAATATGCTTTCAGTGACTTAAAGGCAGAACACTCCTAATTTCTATAAAATATGTAGCCAGGAAAACCAGTGGAGAAAGTTGTGTAGTTAAATGAAGTCATATAAAAATCCTGAATTGCTTTAAGCCTCATAGCAGAACCTTAATACATCATGAGAGTTGGTACAATTGATTTAAAAAGTATGCAAAATATCAAAAATTCCTAATTGCAGTCCAGCCTCACTTACAGTTACCATATAACTTTTAGTGAGTGACTGGGACTATATTCTTACAGCAATAAAGTGTGGTATGTCAGAGACTGTTTACAATTCAGTCCCCTAATACATCACTAAATAAAATTTACTTTCTTGAAACTATAAAAAAATGAAAATGATAAAGGGTTGCTTAAATATATTTTATAAATAATTTTAAATTAGAAAAGAAATTCCAAGAGGCAAAATGATTTTCATAGATAGTTAGACAATAAATATATCAGTATTTTAAGGCATTATTGCTTTAGTGTATTTTATTGGAATACTCCTAACAAAAGGCCACTTCTTGTTCTTTAGGGTAAATACAAAATACAAAAGCAGATGCACTATTTGGGACAGAGTGGATTCACAATCAAGAAGATACAGTACTTTCCCATCATGCATTTAAATGCTGAAAGAAGTTAGCTGATCGCAAATCATCACCAAAACATTACTCGTGGCAAATGCCAAATAGTATTAAATATACGAGGAAGATGAGCAGAGGATTCTAATTCAGACTTAGGGCCTGAGGATTTGTCTCTCTGGGGAAACTGATATTCAAAATGGGATTTGATTGGAGTGTGGAAGAAGGGAGGGCAGAAGCTATAGGCTGTTAGAAATTCTAAGAGGAAACTATGCTGGGGAGGAGCCTGGGGTGAAACAGAGACCAGAGCATTCAAGGAACTGAAAGAGAGCCAGATGAACTCGAGCACAGGACATGGCCCAAGCAGGCTAGTGGAACCAGGCCTAGGAAACCACAGCATGGACTTTTGTGCTACTTTTCTATGTTTACAAAGTGTGCTCTTCCTTTTCTATGCCAAGAGTCACTGTGGCTTTACCATTCATTGGGACGAACCTTAAATATCCAATCCTTCTACTTTCTGCCTCACTTTACTTCAGTGTAAGTCAGCTTAGTACTGCACATGAGCTTGACAACGCAGTTGCATTCAGGGTCAACAGATCATTGGATCCTGAATGTTGCCTGAAGTCCACAACCACTTAGTCCTTATTTCTCATCCCTGTTGGACCTGGAAGCACTTCTTCCCTTCACTCCCCTGATCTCTCATTCCACTGGGTTCTTCAGCAACTTTGCATCTGTGCCAGCACAGAAACTCGGCCCTTATAACCAAACCCTTATTCCTGTTTGCCCTTTCTGCTGGGACTTTTGTCACCCTTCATGCCTATCCCTTATAGTCCAGAGTCAAGATGCCAATTTCCTCCACTCCTCCCTTGAATTGCTTGTGAAACTTAGTGTGATTTTGCTACTGATTTGTGTTACTTGCTTCCTCATTGCTTCCCCACTTCACTTTTGATAACCAATTTTGCATGGTTGCTTATTTCTTTGCTCCTAGCTGCTTTCAAACATTTTCCCCTAACTCCCTTGTCTGCTCTCTGCCCCCACATCTGTTTCCTGTCTCAGACATTAGAACCTATCCTTAAATGGTTCATTGTGGGAACCCAGGGTCTCTCTGGAATCTACTTTTCTCACTTCCACATTCAGACA